TATTTGTATCACAAAAGGACCTGTCCAGAGTTGTAAATGATTTGAAATAAATGTCTGTGTTGCATGCATCTCTTCACGTAGGTATTCAGCTCAGAGAAGGAGGAAAACAAATATCCACTGAATTAAAAGCAAATCAACCCAAAATACAGCCCATCTTGAGAGCAAATGCTAGGTGACTGTTACAGTATTGGAGCAAATGTGGGTCACAATAGTGCCCTGAGTCATTGCCAGGATTTGTATGCAGACAACTCTGTTATTTAGCCACAGTGTACTTTAATAAACAAGTTGGGTGGGTATCCTTTAGAATGTGAACTGACTTTCAGAAACAGGAATTGGGGGAGTTGGAGTGGTGGAGCCTCATACTGGCTTGCTTTCTCAGTCATTTCTGAAAACAAATCCCAGCAAAACAATTCTCCCTTTCCCCAAAGTTGGCCTGGACTCAAGTTTTCTTTTCTGAAATACTTTCTTTGCTCAGGCAACACTCCCCACGCTATAGCTGTTAGGCATTTATGTGCTCTGAATCCATTAGAGTGGGTCAGCACAGAATACCAAACAGATGCTCGGCTCTGAGCGTGGAGAACTGGAGTCTAAAGATTGGAAGGCACAACAATAGCCATTTTCTCTTCTGACGCTGTTCTAAGCAACACTTTCAGCAGGCATAGTTTAGAGACTGGCTCCTTGTGCTGTGTTCATTTCCCCCATCTCAAGGGAGGACCAAATAATTCAACACAGAAAAATAATGCAGGGGACTGATTTACCTTGACGCAGACATACTTGAGTCTAGTTTTCTGACAAACATAACACTTCAAATCCAATCGACATCGTGAAGACAGCACAGGTAGCAAAGATCAAGGATGCTTGTTTTATAGCCAGCCTTTAATACTAAATAATAAAGAAAATAAAATGAAAACAACATGCCTCTCTTCCAGAGCACCTATTAATTTTGATGGAAAATGAAAGCCTCAGGCAGTAAGTAAAAAAAAAAAAAATAAATAAAATTAACTAAGGCTTTAAGAAGAAAAATAGTCTGTATGAGAGGAAATGGCCAGCTAATATTAAGCTGCCATGGTAGAAAGTAAGTTTAGGCATTCTGCTTTCACATTACTATCCAAACTTGTGAAAATACTCAGAGAGGCAGAGAGAAGAGCTAAATTTAGACCTTCATTTAATGCATTCAAGAGCATGATTCATTTTCCTTCTGCCCTGGTTCAGCCCGGGGAATCTGAGTGGATGGCAGGCAGTGCACCAATGTCCTGTAAATAAATGGAAGTCCCATTCATTCAGAGGCTAGAGGAGGTAAGAGGCACCCCATTTTCTCTGCCAACAAAGGTGTATTTTCAAGCACCTGACACATCAAAACACAGAACTGGATTGTTGAGCTGGCTAGAGTCCATCTAATTTTAGCTTTGTCTCTGGTCTTGGCATAGAAGCTGCTAGAAATTTATTCCAATGTCCTTCTCTTCTAGAAGGTACTTCCCCTTGAGCTCCAAGGTGGTCCTCACTAGCCCTCACTAGATCTCAGAAGCCAAGCAACATGGATCAACCTACTGAGACTGTTGAAAAGGATGTCATTGGGCAAGCTGGAACCTAAGCCACTTTATGGTCGCATCCAGTGTGGTCTTAGAGAGCTAGTGTTTTTGATAAAATGTAAATATAAATATACATAACACAGACACTTGAGCAATCTGGAAAAACAATAGCAACAATCAACCAAAACAAACAAATCCTAGCAAATTTAATTTCCACTAATTAACCCGGCGCAATGCTTCTAAGGTGGAACAGACCGTCACAATTCCATCCCCGGTTCCATTATGCTTTGCTTCTAATCACATGCCTTTACTCCCCTTTGCCACCTACACCAAATGAAATACTTTAACCTGTGTAGATAATTCACGTGAATGCTGAACTATATCCAGTTGTTAGTCCAGTTCAGTTCAAGGTGAAAAGCATCTACCTTATTTTACAATGAGTCTGTTAATTATTTTTTAAAAAAATCTTATTTAAGTATATTTGAAAGGCACCTCCTAAATCTCATGCTAACGTCTAATGGTAAGAAGCTGCACTGCAATCCCAAAGGTATACTGTTAGAATCCACCTGTGGCTACCTGGGAGAAAGATGAGTACTCTCCTCCCATGCCTCTGAAAACCTGCTGGAGGGCCAGTTATGGGTCTGTTCCGACTCGATGGCACACAGAACAATAGGAAAAAAGAGGAAATGCATGTCAAGAATCTACAGTCAGGTAGCATTGCCTCCCAGGGGTCAAGTGTCAGACTGAGATTAATAATCCACCCATGCCCCATTCTTTACATCCCCGTAAAGCCATTCCAGTTAAGAGGTTATTTCCCCCAAACATGAAATGGGCTCAGCAATACTGAATTTCACAACAGAACAGGTTAGCTGTGGAGCCGTGCACTGCGTTAGAGATGGTTGCTCTGGAAGGCAGGGTTTGGATGGGCAGCGCTTAGAGAAGTGCACATTGGACGCATCCGCGGGATGGGAGAGGCAGGTCCTGGCAGAGCCGTGGGTCTAGGTGGACATGAGATCCGGTCAGCCTGAATACATGCTTCACAAACCAACCTGGACACGGCACAGAGAAGAGGCAAGACACCGGAGGGCAGCTGACACGATTTGTGCCTTTCTCAAACAGCTTGGTACTTGAGTCACCCTGGTAGATCTTCTGGATGACCAGGTGGGGTGGCCACCTGACCCCAGTTGGGGGTCACAACAAGAAATCAAATCATTTAGAGGGCTGTACTGTCCAATGATCTTGGCCAGACGTCATAATAGGTTAGGGGGGAGGCTTCTAAACCCATTTGAGAAAGGACAAATTCTCTTGAGCACTCTAGACAGAAAACCGGCTGATTTAGCTTAGAACAGTGGGAAGAATACTACAGAAGTCCACTTCAGATGTACATCGAAAAGGAAGGTAAGTGGTTGTGGCAAAGGGGTCACAAGGGTCATAGCCATCCAAGGATGGGTCAGTGATGAACTGGGATTTGAGAGAAATTTATCCTCACACACACAGAACACTGCAGGTCTAATTAACAGTGCAGGGAATCTATTTTCATACTCCACTCACACAAAACACCACTCTTCTGTCTCCGGGGGGG